AAGTCAAACGCTTGATGAAGGAGCTGCTCGAGGGAGTCCACCACCTTCACGAGAAGGAGGTCATGCACAGGGACCTCAAGCCATCCAACCTCCTCTTAAACTCGGAAGACGGCAAGCTCAAGATTTGTGATTTCGGGTTGTCGAGTCGGTTCGAGGACAAGCCCTGCACGCCACACATCGGGACACTATGGTACAGGGCGCCCGAGCTGTTCCTCGGGGCCCACGAATATCTGCCAGCTGTTGACATGTGGTCGGTCGGGTGCATCATGGCAGAGTTCTTCTTGGGGAAAGTGCTCTTCAGAGGAGAATCGGAAATCGAGCAACTTCAGATCATAGTGACTAATCTAGAGCAGCCACACTGTGTGCTGCAACACAAGTTTGCTGCTGCTGCTAATGGTTTGAAAGGGGGGCATTTGCTGACGGAAAGTGGATTCGAGCTGCTGTCGAGCCTTTTGACGTACAGTCCGCAAGAGAGGATAACGGCTCGAGAAGCTCTAGCTCATCGGTGGTTTCAAGAGTGACTACTATTCTTTGTACCGGATATATATGAGGCTCGCCGACAACTTTGAAATCGTTTGTCTTGTGTTGTAATGAAATTGAGATTTGCTTTCCTCTTCAGATATTTACTGCCTTTTAGTCTTGTGTACCTCATTTTCTTGGTTTGCCACTTTGCGCCATAATTATCTGTTTAAGAGGAAGTTGATGCAACTTTAGTTAAGTTCATTTTTGAATTTAAGTTGATGAAGAAAGTCACAGTATGAGACTTTGTATACTGCAACGCTCTTTCCCGGGGTTGCAAAGAGCATCATTATTAATAGCTCATGATCCTGCAGCTAGCGCCTTCCCATTGTGTCAAGTCCACACCCTTTAATTTTGATCTCCAGAAAAGCAGAATGATTTAGCATAGACAGGCTACTTAATTTGATCAGAACCTTTCGGGGCCAACAATCTCGATAGCCTCATTATCAATTCGGGATCGAGTGAAGGAAAAGCGCGCTGATAATCAATTCGGGATCGATCATGAAACGTATTTCTTCCTCAACACAGCCTAATATTTAGGGACAAAATATTATTAGATTGAATTCACTAAGAATTACATTTCGTGTACTGGGTAAAAAAACAACAAAGTTTGAGGGTGTTTAGTGTAAGTAATTAGTAGTACTGAGTGTTGTAACATTAGTGCATTTTGTGCAGTTCCTAACACCGAATGAATAGCAACTTTCAAGATGATGCTTTCGAGCCAGTGGATATTCAACAAGTACGGGTGGGGTGTGGCTGCAAAATCTTGTGTATATGCACATATGTAAAGAAACTATTATAAATTATATGTATGAATATTATATTTATAATCATAAAATATATAATATAATATCACATTTTATAAATTGAATCACTAGAAAACTAAATAACATAATTATACTATTTTACTTATTTATGAATTACTATAGAAATGGGATAAAGTGCAATAATATAAATTTTATAAATTAAGAGATCGTGAACAATTAATTAGTTGGAAAAAAACATTAACTCGTTATTCTTATAGAATTGTTTATAAAAAATCTAAGGAATTTAATTTGTTATGCCATTAAAACTAATTAGATATTAAAAATACTTTATGAGATAAAGTAAAATTAAATATTAATTTTAAAAAAATGACATGAAGAAAAAGAATTGCTATAAAATTTTTGGGAGAGTATAACTTTCATAAATGTTTTGCGAATTTATAATTGAATGATATTAGT